CCCCGCCCACCCCTACCGCATCGGCACGCCCCTCCCCAACGCCCCAACCTCCTGGGCACTTTGCCTCTTTGGTGCTGCTGGGGAGCCGGCGAGCCGGATCCCGGATCTCGGATCCCGGATCTCCGCCAGCTGCCTCCGGCTCTAGGAAGGGCGGTGTAGTCGGTCTCAGGGACTGAGATGAGACTCCGTCAAGAAAAGGCAGCTGGGGCAGCAGGGATTTCGGACTCTGGGTGCCTGTCCGGGCCGCCTGCCTCCTGGAGGCGTCCTTTCCGGCTTCCTTGGAGTGCTCCTATGTAATATGCTGGTCTATCGCCTGACCAGGAATACGCAGAAACCGTCTGTACCTTAGCACGATCTCTGGGCGGCAGAAGGGCAGTACCCAGAACTCTGGGAGAAGGAGTTAAGGGGTAGAAAGGTGGGGGATTTGATTAGGCTTTGGTTCAGACCATCCAGCGACTCCCCTTCCTCACACCAAAGACACTGGGCAATTCTCAGAATCATCGCCTTGTGCAAAAAGCAGCCCCAAGTGGAAAATAATTACAACAGTTTACAGGGACTGCGTGGTTATTATGTGCCAGACACAGAACTAGCCACTTTACATATATTATTCAATAGTCAGTAGGTAGCATCTTTTATTGGCCTTATTTTACAATGGAAAAAATAGGGATCTGGCTCCCCAGACATTAGCCCTCATCACTCAGCTAGAAAGTGGGCAGAACCTGGAGTTGAGCCCTGTTTTTAGGCCCTACAACCAGCATTTGGAGACTCAGTACCTTACATGTTGAAAAATCCCCAGTGGCCCGTGAAGTGGCAGCTCATATGAGGACCACCTTCTTTGCCCCAAAAATCAAGCTCTAGTCAGATGACTACAGACTGACCAAAGCCCAGAAGACTGCCTGGGAGCTGCAATATCCGTGACAAAGGGCAAACTCAGGCCTGTGAGGATCCCTGCCCTATGGGAATCTGCTGAGTGGGTCATCCCCTTCCTCCAACCTTCCAAAGTTGGGGAGAATCCTGAAAAATTCTAGTTTCCTTGGCCAAAGGGTATTCAGGTGATGACACCTGAGCCCTGACTAAACCAAAGTGCTGTTAGGGAGCTTTCTTGTGACCTCTCCACAAGGTTCAGATTTAGGCTCAACACCTGAGTGCAGCAGGAGTTTTGGGAACTGGCTCAACCTCTTATCCACCTGAGTTCAGCACATAGCACAGGATGCTCCAGTGCTTGTGAAGGAACCCCAGACGGGGATCATGCTTGCAGTTTTGGGCGGGGGCTACTAGACTACCCAAAATGAGGGAACTGGAGTCTATATGACACTATCTTTGGGCGGGGGCTACTACACTACCCAAGATGAGGGAACTGGAGTCTATATGACACTATCTTAAGCCTTAGAGGACTACTTTTCTCAACCCTATACTTCTCCCATGCAGTCAAATTTCTGCTCAAAATACTTCTCAGCTCCTTCTCCAGAGGGCAAAAGTCCTTAACCAGCCTGCAGTCTTCATCTAGCCACTCCCTCTTCATTTTTCATTCCAAGCAGTTCCTCCTAGTTCCTATTCAGAGCCTTCACTATATGCTGGCCTCTCTGCCTGGGATGCTCTTCCCTTTACCCTGCCTGTTTGTCATCTACTCACCCTTCAGGTCTCAGCTTTTTTTTTTTTTTTTTTTTTTGAGACAGAGTCCTGCTCTGTTGCCCAGGCTGGAGTGCAGTGGCACAATCTCAGCTCACTGCAAGCTCCACCTCCCGGGTTCACACCATTCTCCTGCCTCAGCTTCCCAAGTAGCTGGAACTACAGGCGCCCACCACCATGCCCAGCTAATTTTTGTATTTTTAGTAGAGATTAGCCAGGATGGTCTCGATCTCCTGACCTCGTGATCCACCCGTCTCGGCCTCCCAAAGTGTTGGGATTACAGGCGTGAGCCACTGCGCCCGGCCTGGTCTCAGCTTTCAAACTGACATCCTCATTTCCACCCCAGTCTATGCCAGATGCTCCTCCTTGGTGCTCCCATAGCACCCTGTACTTCTGTATCCTAATGCTTATCACTGTTTTGTAGTTGCCTGGTTACTTGTCTCTTTCCCCCAATAGGCCCTAGACACTTGGGCAGGGACCGTGTTTTATTCACTGATGTTTCCCCAGGGTCTAACGCAGTGCCTGGCAAATGAAAGCACTCAGTAAATATTTGCTGTATGAATCAATGCATTATGGTCAGCAAACCCAACCCCTCTGGATCTGGTGCTCTTAAGATCCATAGCTATCTTGGTGCTGGCTAAAGGACAAATAAAACTTTGGCTCCAACTGGGGCTGGGAGAGACGACTGGGCCTTCAAACCATCTCTGAAACCTGTGACTTCAGCTGCCTGGCCCCAGCTCTTGATAGGGTTCTGGTGTATGATTAGACTGAGCATGTTTCCACCCAGGCCACCCTCCTAGAGTCCCCCACAAATTGACCTCGCTGGGCCTGCTTTTATGAAAGGTTTATTCCTAGTGCTAGATCCCAATCTTCTTGGGCTCTAAGCACAATTAAACTGGGTGGGTGGGTGAGGGTAGGCCTATTCAGATGCAAGGCCAGCAATGGGGCTCCCCATTATCCCCACCCCTTTGGTCCCAGTCCCCTTCTCTGCAATGGGCACGCATAGAGGAGAGACAAAGGGTATTAGACGCAACATCATTGGCCCAGGGGAGTCTGAGAAGAGCTGCCATTGGCTGACAGGGCATTTTGAGGCTCTGTCATTGGTCAGGGGGCACACCCCAGTCTGAAGAGTGATGCCATTGGCCAGGGAGTGGTTTTGTCATAGCCGTTGGCTGTGGAGTGGAAGGAAAAGATCTGGGAATGAAGCCCTGTGGCCAGGAAGATAGACAGGGCAACAGCTTCTGGGCCTCCAGGCCCTCTTCCCACCATAGCAATGTGGGCAAAACTGGTGTCAGGCCCCAGCCAGAAAAAGGAGCCCAAGCCAGAGGGCAAGTGACAAGGGATGTCCCATGTCCAATCTCCTACACCCTGGGGCTGCCCTTCCCAATGTCCTTCTTGATAGCCAAGGTGGGCTGGGAGCAGCTCACTGCTCCTCTAGCCAGGAGGGTTTCTCAGCTCCTGGAGGCCGAAGCTTGATGTTGAACTGCTGCAGGGTCTGCTCCAGCTGTTTCTGGTTCCCAGCAAAGTAGGCGGACACGGCATTGTGGAAGAGCAGCAGCTGCTTGTGCATCACCTTGATCTGGAGGTCCAGCAGGGTCAGCTAAGGCTGGACTCAGGCGCCCTTTTTGAGGGTCTATGAGCCTGAGCCCAGGCACAGACCAGGGGCACAAGGACTCTGCTCTAATGGTGCTTTTGGGGTAGGGGCTGAACTCTACCCAGGGAGTCAGAGAAGGGTCAGTCTGATGGAAGAGACCTCACTGGATTTGTTGGGCCTAGGGTTTTGGTATCCCAGCTCAGGGGGAGATTTTTCCCAGTTATGTTCCTGGGACCAGCAGCCAAATCTTCCAACAGGAAAGGGCCAGGAATTGGAGGGAGGGTGATCTGGAAAGGCCCAGGGGTTGAGGGGGTAACATTCTACTCCCTAGCTAGGCTGCATTTTGTCATTCAATAATGGGGAGGGTCTGAGGGGAAGGTTAGTGTCACAGATGAAAAGGTGGGCTAGGGTCAAGGGGGTGGGGTAGGCACCTTGTTTTCTTCCAGGAACTTGAGCTTGATGGCCACATCTCCCCGCAGCTTCTCATACTTGTCCCGATGGGCCTGGAAAGTGGCCTGGGCACTCTCGAGTCGACCACGTGTCCCTGCATCCCGGGGGCCTAGGCTCAGCTCCTCTAAGTCTGTTCGGTAGGCATCATATTCCAGCCTGGGAAGGGGGTGATAAAGGCTGGTCTCCACCCCTTTATCCTCAAGACATACTCTCCTTTCCTTCCTGAATTCTTATGCCCCTAATGCCCAAATTTCAACCCATGCCAGCCAACTCCCCAAACCCTAAGCCCTGCCAGTGCCCACACCTGGCAGCCTCATACTGTTTCACAGTCATGAGCGTGTCTTCCATGGTCTTGGTGACCAGTGTGTTGATGCTAGAGACAAAGAAGTTCACAGCTCCTAGCAGTGTTTCCCCATTCTTGCATAGCAGTTTCTGTGTTTCTGCATTGTAGCCAAACTCCTCCTGAGGGCAGAAGGGAGGAACAGACCTTGAATAATACTACCTACCTGACTGGAGCTGTAGAGCCCTTCATTCCCCTCCTCCCTGGGGAGGAAACAGCCAGCAAAACTGGAAGAACCAAGGACTGCCTCCAGCAAAGCTCTTTTAGCTAAAAAGTCAGTGGGGTCACCCTGGGGATACCTGGGGTAGGAATGTGGGTGGTGGGCATTCTTGGATAAGTTCACAAGACTGGAACAGTCTAAGAGCTAGTGTGGCAAGCAGGGCAGGGGCTCTGATTAGGCTTAGCACTGAAGGCATTCTCCCCAATGCAGAGAGGGGTTATTTGTGAAGCACCTAGTGTGCCCCCTCCCCCACCCCCTCCAACTTCTGGACCTCTGTACAAACCCTTAGGCTGCCTCCACAGGTGAGTGCTGCTGGGGGTAGGGCTGGGCCCACCCTGAAGGGGTTCTCCCTGTGGGCTGCAGGAGGGAGGGAGGATGACGAATGACTGCCTGGGAGGGCCCATGCCCAGTTCCCCCACCCTCTTTGGTCTGGGTGAGGCACCTGAAGCTCTGGGGACTTCTGGCTGAGGTCAGCAAAGGCATCACCTAGTGCATGCTGGGTCTGCAGCAGGCTGTAGAGGTGGGCTGTCAGTGCCCGGCCCAGCTGCAGGACACTCTCATACTTGCGCTTCGTCTCACGCAGCAACTCAATCTGCAGCTCTAGCTCCAGGTCCACAGTCCGTGAGCCTCGACCAAATCGTTCTGATAACAGTTGCTTTGTGCACTGATTGGGAAACGGGGCAATAGATCAGAGACCCTGATAGCCTCCTGACACAACAGGTATCTACCCCAACGCCACCCAGGCTCCTACTCTCAGCCACAGATGGGATATTACGATCATGAGGAAAGGGGAAAAAGGTACCCATAACGAGTTTTGGGGAAGTGAGAGGTGCTCAAATCCTACCTTATAGGTGTTGATGCCCCATTTCTTGACGATGTCAAACTTTTCTCCAGCAATGCCCCGAGCCACCTCATCTCCAGGGCCAGCAGGAGTGGTGCTGTGAGATGGATGGCGGCCAGACCCTAAAGGATCAAGTTCTCTGACACCAGCCTCTCTCAGATACACCAGACACCTCTGTGGCCCCACCCATGCTTCTCTCCCAGCACATGAAATTGACTTCCCTGAAGGAGATGCTAGAGACAACTGGATTCTCCTGTTTACTAGGAGGAACTTGGACCTTGCACAGTGATAACCAAATCCTGATATACATATGGCCTCCTTGGAGACCAGAGGAGGGGTTTGCAGGGAGTTGTTGGTGTATAGGGGCAGAGGAAACAGAAGAAAATACACTGAGTTTGGGGGCAGCAGGAGTCAAGGATGGTGGGTCATGATAACAAGAAACCTGGTTGCATTCTCATGTGGAATCTTAGTGTGAGATTCAGGGCTGTTTGTTCCTCTAAACTTTAGAATCTAAAAATTCTGAAAAGCCTCACAAAGTTCCAACTCAGCCTCAAGCTGTAGAGCGGGGGCATTCCTGTGAAGTAGGTCTTAACTTGACTCAGGTGGTGGCAGGGAAAGGACGAATGAGCCATTTCAGGGGCCAAGTGGCAAAAGGGAAATGGATGGACAATGCTGGGAGTTGCTTTTGGGCTGAGGAGAGTCCATGGGATTCCTACAAGCAGAAGTTCCTAAGATCTCCAGACATAATTCAAGCTTTCCTAGACATATCCTATGCTTCCCCAAACCATTCCTGTCCCCTCCTCCACCCAAGCTTCCTGTTTCTGAACATTCATACCTGTGGGGATGAGTCCATCACCAGAGCCCCCATAGCCACCAGACACAATGCTGGTTTCATTGAGGTTGGGTCCTGACACCATCACTTGCTGGAGGTCCTATAGGCCAGAGAAGAGGGGTTGCTTCAGGAACATAGGGACTGCAGAAGCATTTTGGAGGTGGGAACAAGTTTGGATTCAAGCATCATAAAGACACTACACAAGGGAAGTCTGCACAGAATCAAAATGATATGTAAAATTAAGGGAGTCAGATAAGTCAGGGGAAGGCTACTGGAATGGAGGGTGAGAACCCAGGATTTATAAATTGGATTCCTAAATTGAAACAATTAGAAGAATCAAACAGAAGCACCTGCTCCAGCCCATCATCTTCAGGAAGCTGCCTGGCTTCACCGTTCCCGTGGATAGGGATCTCCATTGTGGCTGCCTTCCCTAGGATCCCGTCCGTCATGGCTAGGAAAGGTATTGGAGTAAAACTCTCCACCCCAGCACCCTGCAAAGCCCAACACAGAAGTTCTGGGCACTGGCCAGCACTCTAGAAGAAGGAAGCCTCCTCTGTCATTTCTTTAAAGGCTGTCCCAGGGTTTGAGTGTCCCAGCGTTTGGTCATCATTCCTTTCTTCAGGTATATGTATTTCTCCCCTCCAAAATGCACATTTGTACACAGGCACACCAAAGCACGGTGTCTTCTCACAAGCCCCCAACCTCGCCAGGCCTCTCGTGATTATTCTACACTCATTCAGTCATTCAGCAGACATTTAGTGAGTGCCTACTCTGTGTCAGGCACTATTTGTGACAATGAAAATACAACAGTGAAGAGGGAAAGTATGCTGTCTTAGAACTTATCTCCATGCAGGCGTGTTTATGCTGAGCAGGAGATGGACCCTTTCCAGGGCTCAGGTCTTCACCCCCCATTCAGGTTTGTTCTCCATTGCTTGGCCTTTCTCACTCCTTTAGTGTTTCTTCCCCCTTCCTTCAGGGGGTCTCCCCTCCTCCGTCTCATACAACTCCTCTTCCTCGGGCCCTCCCCACCAGGCCTTAGTTAGATCAGTTGGTGTATGTTCCCAGTCTCTGGCAAAAGCCTGTCTTTACCAGCATATCGGTGATCCCTTCCACAGTCAGTCTCCCAGGTATGTGAGTCCCCGCCCCCACCCCCATACACCTGGACATCAGGTGTGTCCTCATTCTTCCCCAGGGCTCGGGGCATCTTGCCCTCTGGACAGGTTTGTGCGTTCAACTTCCCGTCGCCCAAGCATGTCCCTCTCACCTCGGGCCGGGCCGCTCTTCCCCTCAGGGCGCCAGGCCCGGGCCGCGCGGGGACCTCGGGCTCCAGTTCCCGTCGCGATCCTAGCAGCAGGTCAGGGACTCGGCGGAAGTGACGTCCACCCCGGGCAGAAGAAGCCGGCCACGTCGCAGATTATAAGGGCGGAAGTGACGTCGCAGCCGGGGCAAGGCGATACTCTAGCTTGGTTCTCGAGAGCAGCGAGAGGTTACTTCCGGGGCGGCACCGAGAAGCTGAAACGGAAGTGGCGTAGAGCATGCGCCGGTGGCGTGATGGAGCAGCAGCAGCAGCAACAGCAACTCAGAAACGTGAGTGAGAACTAAGTCGTTTCGGGGCCAGACGTTCAGCTCGCATTCCTGCACACATCGCGGAAACCCCATAGAGCCAGGGATCTGAGGGCTGGAAACTTCGGGTTATGGTGCGCGGGCCTGGGAAACTTTGGGCGGCGCGACCTTGAGTAGAAGTGTGGGGCACATATCGCTGAGTTCGTGGTCCCGGTTTTCTCCCAGCTGCGTGACTTCCTGTTGGTCTACAATCGGATGACAGAACTCTGCTTCCAGCGTTGTGTGCCCAGCTTGCACCACCGAGCTCTGGACGCTGAGGAGGTGGGGAACTGTGTAAGGAGGTTACGCTGCAAACAGTTTAGCGGTAGACTGCTTCCCTCCTCACCCCACTTCCCCTACCTCTGGTCCTGGCCTTCCCAGACCCTCACCCCTAGGCTGTGCATGGGGAAGGAAGGAGGCGGGCCCGACAGGACACCTTTGTCCTCCGCTTAAACCCTATCTTCCTTCTAGGAGGCCTGTCTGCACAGCTGTGCTGGGAAGCTGATCCATTCCAACCACCGCCTCATGGCCGCTTACGTGCAGCTCATGCCTGCCCTGGTACAGCGCCGCATCGCAGACTACGAGGCTGTCTCGGCTGTGCCAGGCGTTGCTGCTGAGCAGCCTGGGGTCTCTCCATCAGGCAGCTAGCCATCCCCAACCCCAGGAGGGAAGGCCCTGGATGGACCCTCAGATTGAAGGACCCAGTGGACCTTAGGGTTGGTGAATCCTAAACGGAGATAATTCGAGGTTGCCTGAAAACTGGCTGTCCTTGCTCCTTTTCCTGGAGCCAATATACTTGCTTTTTACTCTGTTTGATTTATATTCCGGGCAAGGAAGCTTTGCATACTTTATTGGCATAATCCTTTGTTCTGTCATTTAGCCATATCTGCTGGCTTCAACCCTGGCAGCTGATAAGTTGTCTTCTATATGTAGAAGGAAAACCTGAGTATTTGCAGGCATCTGGTTAAAGCAGGGTCTGTGTGTACAATTTTAAAATGAGTAATATGTCAGGCTTTATCTTAGTTTACAACAAAACTACGAGTAAGTGGTATTAGCCTCACTAAATAGATGAGGAAGCAAGATTCCAGAATGTACCAGAAGGCCATTTGATACAACAGGAGAGTGGTTCCTGCCCATATGACAGAAAATGGGAGCTCTGTCTAGTTGTCCTTAAGTCTGACTGACTTCAATGGCTTATAACCGTGAACCAAGTATTTGTTGGTTCATAACTGTTGTTTTGTGAACTATGTCTTATATGTCTAGAATTCTGCTGGATCTAGGGAAAGGAGAAGCTGTCGAAGTACAACGGATCAAAAAACCACAGGGCTTTTGGGCACTGCCTCCTTGAGAAGTTAGTGGCCACAGAAGAGAGATGAAACCTGTAAGAAGACTGGAGTCTTGGAACTTCAGCCGTTTCCCCAGGTTGTTACTTTCTTAGTATGTACAGTCTTCTCAGGATGAGCAGTAAAACCTTTGAACCAAGGTCTGTGTGCTTGTCTTACCGGCAATCGGGAAGGGAGAAAGTTGGGGACCGTATTCTGCAATACAGCCAAATCTGAGGAAGAGAAACTGAAGGGAGAAGTAGATGGCAATGGTTATGATAAAAAGGATAAAACGAAATCTTCGGGACTTCCTTAATGCTACCTTAATGTTTCACTGTTTGTCTAGAATCTCCTAATTCCAGCTTTCCATCATCTGCCCCACATTGGTCTCATTGAGTACATTCTGTGATTTCTAATTCCAGCCTCTCCGTTCTTTTCTCATTATTGCCTCCCCCGCCCCCCAACTTTGTGTAATTTACTTCTGTATTCAGCAGCCTGAATAGCATATCATTCCATCACCCCATTTTCTTGCCACCCTTGGCCATCTTTTTGTATCATTCCACTTATTCTGTCTTTGCTATTTCTGCTAGAAAAAAACAGTTGTGTAATGAATGCCACTAAATATTCAAGGTCTCCAACCTCGACCTAGTCCTCACACCAGCACGCACCTTTATGGGTTCCTGGTCCATTTCCTTCTCTAATTACCATGGCAGTTATTTTACACCTTCACAGCTGTCTTTAATCCCATACCCCTCATCAGGTGACCCTGTTTCCTGTTTTAGAGGAATTGAAGCTCTTAGACATTGGTTTCCACAGTAATAATTTTAAAACTTCTTACAACTACCCACAAAGCAGATGTTCTATCCTATCTACAGAGCAGAAAATTGAAATTCTCAAGTAGGGTATTAAAGTGCGAATCTGACTTGAAAGTCCATGTTCATTTTAACACACCAGGCTGCCTCTTAAGATAGTATTTATTGAGCACCCACTTTGTGTAGGTTCTGATTTTGGTAGATGTCATGCTTTATCTTAATCTTTACCACAACTATAAGTAAGAGGTATTAGCCTCACTTAACAGATCAGGAAGCAAGAATTCAGAATGTGCCAGAAGGCCCTTTTATACACAGTTTCTTTTTTTTTGAGACAGTCTCGCTCTGTTGCCTAGGCTGGAGTGCATTGGCGCGATCTAGGCTCACCACGACCTCTGCCACCCGGGTTCAAGCAATTCTCCTGCCTCAGCCTCCCAAGTAGCTGGGATTACAGGCATGCGCCACCACTAATTTTTTTGTATTTTTAGTAGAGATGGGGTTTCACTATATTGGTCAGGCTGGTCTTGAACTCCTGACCTTATGATCCGCCCACCTCAGCCTCCCAAAGTGCTGGGATTACAGGCATGAGCCACTGCTGCCGGCCTATACAAATTGTCTTACTGAGAAAAGTGGTTCCAATCATGTTTTTTGCCCCATTTAGCTGCCATCTCTTGAACAGAGATGTTAGGAAGGTAAAAGTTGCTGACCAGGACCTTACCCACTGAGTGGCATTCTGTCCTTGGGAAATATAAATGCAAGTAAAACAGGTTTGAACTTCTTAACTTCCAGAAGACAGGAGGATGGGACCTGTGATACTGTGCTGCTGGTGAGAGGACCCTTCCACATCAACATGTGTGTGTATCCTTGGAATCAACTTCCATTGTGAATTATCTGTGCTCTTGTCCTTCCATGTCACATAATAGTAATTGCTAAAAAAGAGCTAGGAGCATAGATCTGTCTGACTCTAAAGCCTTTGCTCTTTGAACTTTGAGAGCTTCTGTCTGTACTTAACCTGCCTCTAGGCATGAAAAAACAAGTGTCCCTCAGTCTGACCTTTCTCTTAATCCCTTTCTTAAAATGTCAATCTCTTGCCCTGGTTCTTTCCTGTTTCTAAAAATGTTTAATGTTCAGGAGAAAAACTTTATTCCTACCACTCTGCCTTCCATAACCTGGTCCTCAGGTCTTGCCATAAAGTGATAGCCATTGGCATAATGGGAGCAATGTGATACTCCAAGCACAGCACTAAAGAATAGATGTTGACAAGTTTTATCATATTATCATAAACATAAACATTGGAGATACTTTGGTGTTCTTGCCATTGTGACTTCAGAACTGCCCACTCCTTTGCAAAGCCTCATTCTTTTGAGGCTGTTCATCCATACAACCCTCTCATTACTTGTCTGCCACTCTTATTTAGTACTACTCTGCTGCTACTTTACTCTAAATAGCTAGCCCTTGGTCTTCCTATCCACTCCTTGATATTTTAACATTTACATAGACACTTTATTTGGTGTTTTGTCTCTTAGTTATTTGGCCCAATCTCTGATGATTTCCACTCTGTCTTGGCCACTCACTCCGTTTGTCATGTCTTGGCCATTATCATCACCACAAACTGCTCTATCTTCAAAATACTTGCACCTTATTTATTGACCATATTCCTTCCACTTGGTTTATTGAACTATTCCATCATTCTCTGATTTCACTGCAACCAATGCTTCTACTTTGCATTAGTACCTTCCTTCTTTAGATTGCTGTATAGCTTAAACTAGTGGTTTTCGTGCAATAGGTTGAATTTCCTTGCCTTTCATCTCTTTTTGAACCCTTAAATAAAGTGAAACTTATCTGTGCCTGCATTTGGACAGCTAAATGCCACCCAAGGAAACAACTGTGGAGAAATTTATATCACTATGAATCCATGGTTATCAGCTTCAAATGTAGTCTCAGCCCCATAGTCCTAGATTTTTCTAGTCATTTTAACTTTTCCCTGCAATAACTATCTCAAACCAACATTCTTAAATCTCTTGTCACTCCCCCGCACCATTATCTTCACTTTATGCAAGTAACTGTTTCTTACCTCATAGACAAAAGTAGAAGGTATCGGTAATTCTCTCAACATCCTCCAACTTACTTACCCACACATATGCATCATTGTTTCTCTTGTCTAAACAAGGCAAGCATACCTCTGTCTAAGGCCAGTGCTTATTCCTGTTCTCAGAATCTTAGTCCTTCCCTCTTGGTGGATCTTTGACTTCCACTTTACTGAATTCTTCTCATCAGTGTTTAAACATGCTAAAGACTCCCCTGTTAATAAACCACTTCATATCTCATTTCCCCTCCAGTTATGCTTCCATCTTTTCTACTTTACAGTTAAACTTCTCAAAACAGATAGTTTGGGCCTCTTCATATTACGAGTCATTTTCCATTTGCATTCCTCAACCCAGTCCATTTTGACTTCTACAACCCTCATTCTATTGAAATGGTTCTTACCAAGGTCACCTTGGTGATCACCTTCCTATCGGTGAATCCAGTGGTTATTTCCCAGTCCTCACTACCTCACTTTTCAGTAGCATTTGGTATAATTTTCTAGTTTCTTATCATTGATACTCTTCCACTGGTGTCTTATTGTACTGTCATGGTTTTACTACTACCTCTTTGACCACAGCTGCCTAGCCTCTTTGCAGGCTCATCCTCCTCCCAGCCTTTAAATCTAAAAGTTTTTCTAGGTCCTGTTCTTCTCAGTCTAATTTTCCTAGAACAGTTTCTTCCCCACTCTGAACTTCAGTTACTAGTAACTTCCAGATCTCCTCCAAGCTGTTTGACATCTCCACTTAAGTATCTCAAAAACATCCCAAATTCAACAT